CATCATAAAATGGTTCTCATAACTCATAGATCGTATATACCGAGTGTTTCGAATTCGTCTCTCACTATTAGAATCTAGAAAACGGTTAGATATAAGTACAATATATGCTACAAATATTATGACCTAAATTGATTAGGGGGAGGGGAGGAGGGGGTTGCGACGGAATGGTTAATTGAAGGGCTTGGGCCAATAAGGTACGTAACCCATATTGGCTTTATTTCGATAAATCTAAAGTTATAAGTTTTATGTAAATCCTGAAACCACGTTTCTTGTCGATGGAAATGCTACAGCAAAGATTTGATGACAACATAATCGAAAAAATATAATGCATTTTTGTAAATTATGCTCATTCTTGAGTATATTGTGACTTGGTGCCTTATTGAAAAAGTCCTCCAAGAGTAATTTAAAAATGGTTTGTTCCATGAACATATAATTTAAATACATTAAAGACATGCCAATATTTCCACATCCAAAAATAACAAAAAGGGTCCAATAAATATGGGTCCAAAGATGCTTCTCTGCCGAGACACAGAGTGATGAAGTTTTATTTACGAAATCGAAAGCAAATTATATCTACAGAGTGGGTAAAGATACCAAGCTAAGCTTGTAGACGTTTAGTGAGCACATAATGAGCAATAAACGCGCAGAGTCTCTTGGCCCAAACTAAACCAGGGATGTAGGAACTGATGTACTTGTAACCCTAGTAGGCAAGATTTTATACGCCACTAGCCTTTTCGGAGAAAAGACGTGCATTTTATGAAATACCATTCAACTTTGCATGTCTTATCCTCAATCAGTAGCGTAGAAGCTTATAATTCATGAAACCTTTCCTGTGCACGCCACTGGTTTTCCCGGATGGTTCATTTTTGTTTATCTATAAAGAAGCTTTAAAATAAAGTTAATTTCAAACATTAACAGCCGCAGCTCAGGGGTAAAGAGTCCTAAGACCATTGTGACCTAATCTTGAGGTATTAAAGTAATATTGCCTCAAGATTAAAATAGCAACTAAAATACACTATTTTGTGAAGCAACACCTTATTGATGTTAATATTTTTAATTTTAAAGTTGCAATATTTCCGTTGAAGCTGTGTTGAAATTTTCGCTTGTGTTATCCATTAATCGAAACTTTTTTGGATGTAAGATTGTTTACCTCTCGGGTACAGAAAACCTAATAGAAATTAAGCAAGACATCAATCAACGTTACCTTTATTACATTTATTTGTGAATTTATGATGCCATAACATCAAGAACAAAACATAATGCTGAATAATCTATAAAGAAGGTGTTGAAAGTGACCACCTTTGGATTCAATACAAGGTCGTGCACTACGCCACAAATACTCTCTGACTCTTTGGAAATACCTGGCGTAGTACGAACAGTGTCCAAAGCTTTCTGCATACTTTGTCCTCATACTTCGTGACCGAGGTTGCTAAAGATTTGTGATATATTTGTTGAGCTCACGTAATCCAAAATGCTAAAGTAGTTTGACAAAAAGGGCCGATAATTTCTGAAGTAGAATTATAAGAATTTTACTCAAGTTAATTGATTCCACAAGTACTAGTTGTGGTTTTACACAAAAGTATACAAGATGGGTACTGATGGATACCAGGAAAAGTATACCATGAAAACTAGCGGTGTGCATAGACAGGGTATAATGTATTCAATTAATGTTGTAATGAGGTACCATAGCTTTCTTCAAATGCCATATAGTGTTTCCAATGTCAAGCTTCACATTGCTTTCAGAATAGGGAAGGCTAAGCCTTTTCATGAGAATATTTTATGATTTTACCTCAAATATTCAAACCTAACTCTCTCCAAAATGAGTGATATGACAAAAATTTCTCAGAAAACAAAATATATTGAAAAATGAATGGTATTTTATGAGGAGCACTTCTTTTCTTCGAAAATGTCAGTGGCGTAGGGAATATTTTCTACTAGTTGTCCAGGTACCCCAGTTTCTACGTCCCTCGTACAGTTTGGGCCGGAAAACTGTGTGCGTTCATTGCTGGTGATGTGCTTGTTCTTCACTGAAAGTTTAAAATCGTTACTCAGTATCTTTACCCGCTGCGTAGATATAATGTTTTCTTAAATTTCGTAAATAAAACCCTGTTTCTCGGTAAGAGAGCATCTTTGGACCCATATCCATTGGAACTTTTTTTGTTATTTTTGGATGTACTTTCTACCCTAGAAATATTGTCACGTCCTTCTGAAACACCCTGTATATTTAAATTTGGCGGGCACCTTATCTACGTTAAAGTAATTCTTCGTGTCAGATATAGAGCTAAATACGCAAAAAGTTTTGTTTTCCATTGGGAATGTGTCAGATGTGTTAAATATTTAAAGCAATTAGGAATATTCCTGCAGGCTGAAGGAGGTCACCATCTACACAAGAAAATTTACTTGAGCAAGAAGGGCACAAGCCACTCATCTCAAATTAAACATATTCTTGATTCGTATTAATGTTGTTTGCGGTGTACGATAGTCGTTCTCAATAAGAATAATTGAAGCGTGGAAATTCAAAAGCGTCTGAGTGCCGGATGGCCCAAATTTGGAATTTCATTATTATAGTAGATAGTGCGATGGCGGTGGCCGCAGTAGTAGACTCTTCGGTCTTCCGATCAGTCGCCGTGCACTGTGCGGGTTCGAATTCCGTCCCAAGAGAAATGTTTCTCTTGGCTATGGATGTTTCGATTGTCCGTAGGTGGTAGACGGTTTCTGACTGTCGAACACAGAGGTACCACCCGGCGGATCTCGTAGGCGGAGCCAGAATGTGTGCATGTTGCATGCACACGTGTTCCCTCGCCAGAGTCCGTGTGGCGTTCCCCCTTTCGCCTGTATCCTGTATAGCCCCACGGTACCGCACGGATGTTTAGGCCTTATACAAAAGAGTCAAGTACCCATACTCTCTATATTATCGTTAAATACTCGGCTTCAAGATAGCGCCACGTCTAAGTCTGGTCCTCAATTATACGGAAAAACCGTGTAAGTGCCAATTCATTACACATTGCTGTATAGCAGTTTTGAGGGTATAACCGTATTATTAGTCGAAATGAGTGAACAAGTGGGAGTTGGTTCTCAAAATACAATTTTAAAAAGAAGGAAAAGGGTAGTGAATGTGTCAAGAAAGAATGAAAACGTTTAAGGCTAAGTGGTCTTCAATACTCAAATTACAGAGGTATTAGTAAAGCAGCTCAGAAGCCACCTGAAATCGAGGTAATTTGTCTTTGTTTACACTGTTTTTTGAGATAAAACTTACCGTTACCGATTTAGACTATGCCTTATGGCAAGAGTCGTTAACGGGTTGTGGTGGAAATGAAATTTCTTCTTGTCTTTTGAAAGTTTTATTTATTACAGAGGGATTTTCCAAGAAAGAAAAATTCGATCATATGGAGTGATAACTGCATTGGTCAAAATAAAAATAAAATAATACTTTTGCTGTTAATATGCTTGGTCACTATATGAGCAACTTAAACAGAAATTTTTAGTTTCTGGACATTCGTATCTCGCTTGCGATCGAGACTTCGCTTAAATCGAGAAGCGAAAAAGGTAACAAAAGCCTTCACACCAGATAATATAAAAGAAATGATAGTGAATGCATATTATAGAAATCTTTGTAAAGCTTTAACGATGAAATCGGAAGACTTTAAATACATTCAGTCACTTGCTGACGATGTGTTGAATACCACAAAATATCCCAAGCTACGTGGATTATGGTTAATAAAGAAAATCCCAATAGGGTGAAAACGAAGAAATCTTTCAATGAATTGGAAGAATATACCCATTGCAATGCGTTAAAGAAGGGAAAACGGATACAAGACATAGTAGTAGAACTACCTCTCGTCGAATGCAAAAATCGAATATCGGCTGAGAAAATTGAAAGCCTTGAGGATATGCTAGAGTATATGTCTTTAAAATACTCAAGTTATTGGAAAAATTTGATTGACAATGCCAAGAAATCAAAATGAGAATTAATTAACTTAAAGTTCGTGTTTTTATTTTTTTAAGTACCTTTAATTGGAACATAGATGTTTTTAAACCTGTTACTTTGGCACTTAGACTGCTTCTTAGTTTTATAAGTTTGGTATTTTTTTGTACAAAAAGTTTTCTCTATTTTAAATTTTCTTAAAATGTAGTGTATTTACACTTATTACCGATTAATAAAATATTTTTCACTACAATACACTTGTTTCTAATTAATTTGTTATAAAAAAAACCTTAATAACTCAATAATCACTTTTTGGCCTTTGAATTTCCACGCCTCAATTATATAATCTGATAAATAGAAGGCTGGAAATCAGTTCCTAATAATTATCAAGTTAATACAAAAATATTTTTCCTACGTAACAACAACATAAGCTACATCTATAACGGCAGAATAGTCATAAGCTTCAAATTTATTTATTCACCTGAGTTATCCGCTCAGAGTTTCTAACAGAACTGCTAACAGTCGGAGGATAATGCCTACCCTTCACACTTTCATCTGAACTAAATCCAGAACCATATTTGCTCTTTCTATCATTGAAACACCCATTGCTTTCATCATCTTAGAATAATTTAAGCCGCTTAACTTTCTTCACGTCAAAATATGCAGGACATCGTGGTTGTTTAATCATGCTATTTTAAAATTATAGCGATATCTGTCATCGAATTGTCAAAAAATCAGCTTTGGACATAGGTACCTACATCACGGGTGCTCTTAGATGGAAATTATTTTCTTTTTATCAAAATTATCAATTGCTTCAAGCTCTCCAATGTATGTTTGTCACACTAAGTATATTTAAATTAAAGTAATATCGGGGAACGCGTGAAAGCAATTGATCCTCAAGGTGGACAGTAGACGAAATAAGTTTGAGAACCTCTGTCCTACTATATGTGCAACTCAAGCGGATGATTACTCTTGGGAAATGCAACATGTGCATAAATTCATGCATCTCTAGCGCCTAGAATTTCATCATAATCTTCTAATAACAACATCGAACCTTACTTAAATTACAATTTACCTCTCGTCTCTCAACCGCACTTCATACAAGATTACAGGAATAGCCTGAAAATCCTAGACCTGGAAACTTCGTGCATCTAAGCCAAATGAAGGGGTTCCATATTAAAATAATCCTAGACAGGCCTCGATTTAGTACATAGTGGCAAGTGATCAATCATTCAATATCCTGAGCGTTACGAAAAGCTTTTTCCTATAGCTGATCTGAACTTCACCGTTCTAGAGCGACAAAGCAGCAAACACCACTCCATCGTAGTTGCGATTGGATTGACGATGGAATGCTCCCAGTGGCAGAGAGCAGAGAAAACCTAGTAAAAATGATTTAGTTTGATTAAAATTTTGTATACAGTTAGGCATAAGCCAAAAGAAGTAGCGATTGGATTTTGAAGCAAAAATATTTGCAGTATTTTTGAGGTATTTCATCGCAAAGTAGCTGTACTAGGTTTTAAACATCGGCTACCGTTGGTATATGGTGATGGGAATTATCTTGTTGGAAAATTGGGTTTGCAAGCGTTTGGAGAAATGAAGTTCCAGTATCGCCTAGGTATACCGTTGTGCCGTGATATTTCCCCTAATGAAAGGTAGAGGTGACATCACATGTAATGGCGTCCCACAAACTATAACTCCAACAGTATGATGTACGCGACGTTCAATTGAAAAACTACATTACATCTTTCTCCGCGGCATCTTCTGACCCAAGTCCATCCATCATGTATTCCTAAATAGGACTGAGACCGAGAAAATTGGCTTGATGAATAGTCTAGCATTGTTATTAGTTTTGATTAGTCTTGATAAGTTGCAACTTATGTTAGTTACTATGTTTTTCCATTGAAAAACAGACATTTTATTTTTGACTCACTTTACGATGGAATTAGCTGAAAAGTGAATTGGCGAGATATTGTCGTTCTAATACGGATTGCAACAGTAAAAACAGGAGTCGTCGAAAAAGGTGTGAAGTACCATATAGGTGGAAAAAATACACGGTGTAAACGTTATGGTATTCATTATTGAAATGGGTAATAGGGGGGGTCAAAACAACTCAAAAAGTTCATATGACCCATGGGCCAAAAGTCAATAGATTTTTGTCTAAATGGCTTTATAGTTTACAACTTTAAGTGCTTTATACCGACCACAATCACCACAATCTTACTAATTTTTATAATCTAATCTAAAACGTTTTTAAATTGGGTAATTAACAAATAAGTGGCATTAAGTTTTTCTAAGTTAAGCCAAAATTTGTTGTCAGTAAGTAAGTTTCATTAAATTGAATATTTAAAATACACATGACAACAGCGCGTCGGTCATCATCACTCTTATAGAACCGGCAATCGATCGCAAACGGTAACAGTGGTTAGTATGTTGGCGTACGTCGTGGTCTTGATTTACAATGTTCTCGAATCAAGAGTTAGCCGACATGTTGTTAGTTTACGGTGGAGCCCGTCAGAATTCAAATCTTGCAGTTCAAATTTATTGCGACAGATTTAGCTAACGGGTACACCCAGACAGAAGGACATTTGTGCAAGTGTACCAAAGACTTCGAGATACAGATAGTGTTCAGCCCACTAATATTCGCCCTCGTGAAAGTCAGGTTACTGTAGAGCAGGAGAAACGAATTTTAAATATCGTGGAAATTAAAGCAGATATCAGCACTCGGGAATTAGGCCGCCGCGTAGGACTACACCATACTATAGTCCATAGAATCCTACGGGAAAATTTGCTTTATCCCTACCATGTACAACGACCAACGAGTGCAGGCTTTGTTACCAGAAGACTATCCTCGCAGACTAACATTCTGTCAGTGGATTATACACAAAAACATTGAAAATTCGGATTTTTTTAAAAACATTCTAGGGATGTTAAATTTCCATAATACTCACACGTAGGCCCAAGAAAATCCTCGTACCATTCGTGAAGGTCGTAATGAAGCTTGTGTGGAAAGTGGACATTTGAACACCCATCTTAAATACAAAAAAAGTGCAGTGTGGGTTTTAAAAAGAAAAACGATGTATGTATTAAAATTGTGTTCCCTATTTATAAGTGGATTTTTTTAATACGTTCAATAAACTTTCACACACCAGGTAAAGAGCTGAGACAGTAGTGGCGAGTCCGCTTTTTAATTGTTTGCATTTTACGAGTACATTATGATGGTGTATGATATATGTATTTGCGTATTTCCTATTCTCACGATTGATTAATTTAAACAACCGATTCAGCTCTCTAAAAATCATTGATGATTGATTATTGGAAGCATACAAAAGATAATGTGATAGATTCATCGATCGAATGTTTATCAGAACCGAAAAGATAAACAGAAGAAAAAAATAGACATATTATTATATCTATATATATACATCTATAGTAATATGTCACCTCCATGGGACACACATGGTGAAGATGATGAAGGACTGGATTAAGAGCAGAGAATGGTTGGCACACGAACTTTTGTCGATATCCCCAAAGACAAGTCATTTATATATATATATATACAGGGTGTCCGCAAAGTTGGGGTTTTCCTTTTCAGAAACAACTACCCTTGAAATAACAAAGGTAATGTGTAGAAAAACGAGGGCGACCAAGTAAAAAAAAATAAAGGAAAAAGTACTCACTCTCCAGTTGACGAGAAGGGCTAAGTACGTCTCTGCCCGAAATCATACCGCTCCAACAGAAAATGAAATCAGCTGATGCGCTACCGAGCAGACGCAGAAACCACATTGATTGTCTTACAGTTAATGGCACATCTTCTAACAAGGAAGGCAAAATGTTGCGTAAAAAGTCTAGGTATTGCGTCCCGTTCAATCGATTTGGGAGAATAAATGGTCCAATGAGCATACCGTTTACCATGACAGCCCAAACATTCACCGAAAATGTTTGTTGAAAATGTGCCCGACGGACAGCGTGCGGATTTTCTACTGACCAAACATGAGTGTTGCGAAAGTTATTCACCTTATTACGCGTAAACGTAGATTCGTCTGTCACCAATATGCACTTCAAAAAGTCCGGATTATTGTCATGTTGATGCAACAACCACTCACAAAACCACACTCCTGCTGGAAAATCGACAGGTTGAAGGGCTTGTACAAGTGGGACGTGAAACGGATACAGCCCCTCTTCACGCAGCATTTGCCACACTTTAGTTTTTGATACTTGCACTTCTCTAGCCACGTCTCTAGTGCTTGTTGAGGGATTCTAGTCTACGCGATTACCTCTACACGCGTGACCGTAACCGCCGGTTGAAGGTTGCATACTGACCTGACACACTGACCCCGACCCAGTTCTGTCGTCGGGTTGAGCCAGTGACCTTGTACCAGTCGGTGATGTTGCGGCTACAGGACGGTATTCAGATATTTTTGATGTTGCAGAGCCCTTTATCTCGGTTCCCTTAAGACATTGGTGTATATGGTACTAAGAAGAATTGCTTATGTTTTTAAGATCTACACGTCGTGTAAAGGAAAAGTCCAACTTTGCGGACACCCTGTATATATATATATATATATATATAAAACACAAGCTAATGTACAGATTAGGTTGTCTCCCTCCCTTGCTACTTTAGTAACCTTGTGTTACGAAACCTCTATCACTTGTTTTAAATATTTCAATCGACTCATTCTTCTTTGTAAGCCAAAAAGCCCGCCTACATATTTTTGGAATGGGCCAGGCTAGTAAGCTGAAATTCGGTGTGGTGAAATTGATGTATGGATACAGTATTTCAAGGTAAAAAAAGCAGTTGAAAATTTCGATATGACGGCTGGGCATCATCTCTATTTTTCTAATAGAATGGGGAATCGTGTGATATGCGATTTTCATGCTCTCCATAAGTATTTCCTAACCCTAGAATACACGTTTATATCTTTTTTTTTAAATGGCGGACTATCAGGTTGTCGAAGCGTCTTTGTGCATTAGATCGCTACTAATTATATCGAAACGCTATAGCATGTCATATCAATATTCTTCTTTCAGAGGGGTATACAAAGAAAGAACTTAATTTGCTGTCAGTTATCTTTGTGACAATCTTGGGATATTGAAAATTAACTTATTGATACAGAATTTACTTTTAAAATGGTTTATACAGTAGCGAAAGTGATTCTAATGTATGATGCCCCAAATCAATGTGCTCGGCAAACTGCCGTCACGTTTAAGGCCAGACATCTGGGGAAGATAAATTCGCATAGGTATGTTTTGGACTTTGTTACTAGATTTACATAAACTGGATCTGTTTCAGATAAAACACGTGATCGTCGGAGAGTTTTGGATGAAGCCGCTCAAGTTGAAGTTTTGGGTCATTTTGAAATAAATGCTAATATTTCATTACACAAAATTGTTGCGGCGACTGGTATTGCATTATGCTCTCTACACACAGTTACTAATCTCCATAAATGTCATCCCTTCAAAATGAAAATATTGCAAGACTTAACCGAAGATGTTTTTGATAGGCGAGTTGAGTTTTGTGAACAAATGACTGCAGCGATTAACGATAATACCATTGTTGTAAAGAATATCTGCTTCAGCGATGAATGCACATTTTATCTAAGTTGATTGGTTAATAAGCATAACTGCAGGTATTGAAGCAATTAAAATCCTCATGATTTTATAGAATGGCATACCCAGTACGCCAACAAATTAATGTAATGGCAGGCATTTTAGGAAATAAAGTGATTGGGCCATTGTTTATTACTGGAAATTTGAATAGAGACATTTATTTGGATATGTTGGAAAATACCATCAATCTGCTTATCACTGAAACCATTGAAAACCAAATCCAAGAGGATGGAAACCCTATACTGGATCAGGCTGAAATGTATTTCCTGCAAGACGGCGCTGCTCCTCACTATGTTCTTTCTGTTCGGTAATGGCTAGACGACGAGTTTCCAGATAAATGGATAGGGTGAATAGGGCCTGTAGAATGACCTACCAGATCTCCTGATTTGATGCCATTCGACTTTCTTCTATGGGGCCATTTGAAACCTCTCAATCTGAAAGTTTGGATGAACTTCGTCAACGCATCATCTAAAGCTGCCATGATATCCCACAACTTGTTTTTGAAAATGTCCGTCAGGATTGTTTGGCCAATTACTGGCAACATTTTGAACACTTATTGAAAATAAAAAGTGATATTTTCGTGTGTTTTTGTTTTCTCTCTGAACAAATTAAGATAAATAAAGATTTTTCTAATTTTATTGAAAACGAATCGACCGTTTTGAAAAGTCAAACGTCAAAATAAAGGACTTTGATAGCCCTTTCAAACAAGCTATTTCTCGATACCTCATGTCATTTAAAATTTTGAAGGGGATGACCCTGACGGGTAGAGGGTGAAAGGGGGTGAAGTAGTTTTTGGTTAAAAAGTTGTCCCTCTTGACAAAACTTTTGCCATGTCTCGGCGTTTTTTCTTTTAATCAGTGGTTTTCGATAAATCCGTGGTGGGAAGTTTTCAAATGAAAGTGAAAGTGATGAATGAGAGTGCAATGAAATATGGAATATAACAGTTAAAAATGACAGATGGAATGGAATGTTCCATATTTTATTGCACATTCAAATAGACCTTCTTATAAGCAGGATATTGGTATGACTCAGGTAATTAAACGTGTTGATGATTGATTTTTGAGTTACAAGCGATTGAATGTACAAAGCGGTCCATCACTTTGTACACTTATTTCAGTTACTTCACATCTTAGTGTTATGAGGTACTCATAAAGAGCTTTAAAATGAGATATCACATCGTCGGTCTCTGCACGTGCAGGCGTAAATGACAAAAAAAAATCTAAAATCGACTTACGCCGTAATTTCACATATTTTTTTTTTGTAGTTCGTCACTTCACGAAGTGACGTAACTGTATATCAGTTCGCTGCTTGGAAATACAATTCTTAAACAGTTGCGTAAGTGATAAAATTCCGAAAACAATTGTCACGTAAGAGCTTAAATAGATTTACACCTCTACGTTCAAACTGGTTTTTTGTATTGGACCGATAATTATACAGCACGTACTGGCGCATGTATATTTCACTGGCAGATATGTAAACATAACCTAAATATGGTTGTGTTGTTGTGAATGTCGACTTGAACAAAATGTTTATTTTTTTTATTTACTTTTTGTTTGTACCTATAATATTAGGTAGAGAATAAAACAATTTTTATTGTTGAAACAGTATTTCCGATACTTTGATACCCATGTCCAGTTTTAAATTGTTGGCGTAACTACTCAATAAAAGAAACAAAAGTCGTCACGAAGTGGCATAAATGTGCAAAAAAAATTTTTTGTATAAACTCATTTTACTTTTACAAAGTTACACCATCCAAACCAAAGTTCTACATAATTTTAGTCTAATAAAAAACTATTTTGCTATCAACGTACAGACTAAAAAATCAGTATGTCATTTTCAATCTTATTAATTGCTAATTTTTGTTTTCTACATCTCCTGTAAAATTTGTAAAATGTTAGTTACGCCGGTACGCGCAGAGGCCGACGATATGATCCATCGTTTAATTTTTTTTACAGGAGCAAGCTTTTATAGCCACTCTCAGGCAGACAAACTCGACAATATTGCCCTGCCGGCACTTCCTGCCTGAAGTGTAGCACTCTTCAGCAATGGCATACTCACTATAACCACTCAGTCGTTCGCCACACATCATCCACAGTAACGCTTGCATCATTTCTTTCTTTGAAAATGTTCTAAGACGGTAACCTGCCGCTGCCGCCATCCTGAAATTTCCAACGGCCCCTTTTGGGTTAAATATAGCATCCATTCAACAATTTTATCGCCCTCTATTTCAGCTTGCTAACTTTACCCGTTCAAAAAAAAAAAACAAAAGAGCACTGTATATTCAAGATAACGTTGCCACTGAATGTGAGGTAGTTGCTTGTGTATTGTCGGAAGTTGTTTTCAGTTTTCCTAACTCTGACCGAATTGGTTTTCAAAGAGGAACTATGTACAGTTTTAAACAACTGGCCTGGCGACAAAATTCGTAATACTTAGGGCCTTCGCACATGCATTATAAGTGTATCGTTACGACGTAACGCTTACGAGACCTGCAGTGTTCCACACACGCATCGTCACGTTCACGTATCGTTTTGTAAGAACTAGATGTTCAGGTATATCCATTGATGATCTTACATTTTCTTCAGACGAAGAGGATTCCTTAATGTTTGATTATGTTCAAAGTAGAAAGCGACGTGGTCATTGGATCCATCTATACATCGCAAGTAATGGGAAGAAAGGATTGAACGTTCAGAAGATGATAATAAATTGCGAAGTTCTTATCGAATGAGGAAGGAGTTTGCCTTACGCCAGACCGCTACGACTATCGTAATGACACTGAACATCTCATCCGCTTCGCTGCAATACCGTTTCGTGTACAGACTTGTTAGCACATATACGTGCTCGTTTTGCTCTCGTCCTACGCGCGTATTATGATTATGATACGGTTGCGATACGGCGTAGTGGGCGAAGGCTCTTACTCAACGCGTTAGCACATCACTATAGAGTAAAGTGGGGGAATATGGCAACATAGATTTCAAAAGCTCACATTCTAACAAGCAACCAACCCAACCACAAGGAGAAAGCGGCATCTTAAAGCGTGTAAATTTGAGTATGTGACGTGAAATGCTCGTTGACATAATCCCAGACTGAAGAACGGTTACAAGCAAAAAGGTCGCATGATACGCTATGGCCATTTTACCCGCACCTATAGGTGATGTGGCATCATGCTTTGGGGAATAAGTATGGCGACATGCTCCTTTCGTAAAGATTGAACAATTTTTTTTCGGTTAGAAACAAGTATATAATCCTGACAACATTACAAGTTTTATTAAGTGATACAACGAGGCTAATAAATCGCATATCTCCAGAGCTCTGGAGGTACTTGGTAGTTGATTTAGTGGGACACAATCGTCGCAATATATTATGTCCAAAGGAGTACATATCTCGTAAGCCCAATCATGGCATTTTAGACATTGCAAAAAATCACATTTGGGACCTATTTTTATCAAATTTTATCCAAAGCATTGGGCACAAATTTCTGATTCATCATGTTCCAATTTCAGAGTTCCCACCCTCTACTGTGCGGACTTGTTAGCACACATACGAGCTTGTTTTGCTATCGTCCTACGCGCGTATTACGATACGATTACGATACGACGTAGTCTGCGAAGGCTCATATTTGTACATAGAGAGTCCGACTGTTATGAGCCATCGAAATTCCCGTTTCACTGCTTACCATGATGAATGCAGTCATACTTGCAATACCAATGGTCTCCTATCACACTCACTCGCATGGTACAGCTATGACAGAAAGCCTCAGTAGCTCGAGGCTCGCGGGTTTGAATCTCCGCCTCGGAAGCTGATTCCTTGCCAGGGATGTTGTGTTGTCTATATCACGCACGCGGTCAATATTAACAGCTCATTTCTGGAGCTGCTTTATTATATCAGTCACCAGTAGGAGGCGCGTGGGGTAGTAGTTGGCGGGCTCCGCCTACCCACCACTACTACTACTACACCTATAGGCGGGTAGGAATATGATATTTCAAGAAGATTATTAAATTGTATGAAACCAAGAATAGAATGATAAGACACATCCTGTAGGAGAGCTACTCCAGCTGAAGAAATATTAGCACTAACTCTTTGGTTTCTTAAAGAAACAATCAAAAATAATCTTTGATAACAATAATCTTGCACTACTCTACCATGACTCTCTAAATCTGTAGTGACTCATATGCGAGATCAGAGCATGACCGCCACCGGGCGACGGAACGGCTGTCGAGATGCGTCAGGCTAGACCAGGACGGTATTGTAAACTCTGTCCCATTTATACATTCTGAATAATACACATTTTATTCGGGCAACATTATGTCCCACAATCATCTAGACAAACTTTGAGATATTAGAATACAAGTATGTTAATAAACAAAAATTGGAAAAATATGAGCCTACCGTTTTGATTCATTTCTTTATTACAATTTTAAGTTTTGGATTATGCTCACAAGATCTCATTCATTTGTTAAAATAATCTTGAGTAAAACGATTTAAGAAATTTTTGAACTGTTTTTAAGGAGAAAGTTTCCATCCAGCGATCGGCTCGAACAATCAAAATATTTAAAAATCAAGATCGGGCTACTTTAACTTTAACGCTGCCTAAATGGTGGATCATACATAAACTAGTGCTACGAAAATAAGGGTCTCCAAAAGAACTACAAAATCCGCGGAAGCATATAGCGACCCCTGATTAACAAGCCCCAATAACGATTTTCATAAGACACGAAATCCCGTGAAAATTCGCCAAGTTATACTTATTATCCCGAGAAAATTATAGTCGGCTTTCTTTGCTAACTCAATGTGGATCTTGCACTACGATTCAGCTGTTCAACAATGAACGAGTAGCTGATGCATCCTGTTTGCTTGTAAAGCTATTGACTATCATGCGGGTAAAGCCGTAGGTTTATTCTAGTACTCGTAAGAAGTTTCAATTTTTGGAAAATATCTCATTTGCAACTTTTTGCAATTAAAGATGATATTGTGGGCTTAAAAATCATAACGTATTGTAGTTTTTCCACTGATGAGCTTGTCTACTTGTAATAAAACACTAAAACCAGTAAAAATCAACAAACATGCTAAAAGTAAGGAACGCGTATGAATATTACCATAATTAAATGAAAGGAAGAATGAACATTGATTCCGGTCCTGAGATAAGATGCCGCCTCAACGGTTCCACGAACAAGGGCCCATCGACTCCACGCGGCCCGATAGATTGGCGTAGAATAGTAGTGCTTCGAACTTGTTTCGCTGAGAGTCCAGTTACCGCGTGATACTGTTTGTTGTTAGAAGAATTGTTGTTTGGTTATTTCTGTTGTTATTGTTCTGGTTATACTTATATTTCCTTAATCATGGAGACTGGGAGTGAAGTACTGGAAGCCAAGGAGGAAGTAGAAAGCTTCGTAAGGTACTGAAAGAGGACGCGAAAGAAATCGTGCCCAACGTGTTCAATTATTTGAACAAGACTATCAACATATGTCGCAAGCAGATGCATTTACGCGTTGCGAAAGCATGACAGGCATCCCGGAGTGGACTGTTCGCAAGGTGGTGCGTGAACACAAGAGAATTGGAGCTACTGCTGATTCAAAGTTCCATTTGAAGGAACGAAACCAACCTTTCAGGCTATACATGTAAAAATCGAGAGTAATGACATTATAGCCCCCAGTGAGCGCGAGGTATTAAGGAAAATCCTGCACGAACTTAATTTTGGTTACGAAACGCGTAAGTCAGGATTGGTCGAGAAACCTGAAATAGTCATGTAGCGTCAAAAATACCTACGCGCAATAACTGAATATAGATGACAGAGTAGGAAATTACATTACTTGGATGAGACGTGGTTAAATGCAGCTCACTCAGTTAAAAAAAATTGAACAAACAAAAATGTACCAAATAACCGACGAGCAAGCATTGGAGGTTTGTCAACAGGTCTTCCTGCACCGTCAGGGAAAGGTCAAAGATTGATCGTTACACGTATTGGCAGTGATAGTGGCTTTTTAGAATGATACAACTTGACTTTCGTCTCTAAGAAAGGATATGATTACCATGACGAAATGTATGCCAGCTGCTTCGAGCGCTGGTTTCAAGGGGTGCTTCAGCGAGTTGAACCCAACTCTGTGATCGTCATGGATAATGCTTCCTACCACAGTCATCGAGCCGAACGTGTACCAAATATGGGGTCTTGAAAAAGTGAGATGCAGCAATGGTTGCGCGAAAAGGGCATTCAGTTTGAGGATTCATGCGTGCAATGTACGAAACAATTGAATATCACAAACATGCTAGGTGATTTTAGAATGTTCCGTCATTTCCATGTCACTAGTGCGCTATCTATGCTGGAGTCATTCCATTACGTTGTTGAGCCCTAACATTGTGAACTGAACCCAACATAGCTTATCTGGGCCCAAGTGAATGGTTATACTGCATGCCATAACACAACTTTTAAATTACCAGACGTGAAGGCTTTGATAGATAATTCCATACAGCTGGTAACGCCTGAAGCCTGGCAGAATGCTGTCCATCATATTGTGAAGGAAACACAAATGTGGCAACTTGACGACAACATCGACACCATCAAGGAGCCAGTTATAGTCAATCATCTTGGCGAAGAAAGAGATGACGACAGCTTATTAGTTTCAGATGGATGTGGAAGCGACGACGAATGAAAAGAGGTAGACTCAATCAGCTCATGGATATTCAGCAAAAAAACATGACAATGATATTCTCCAAATTTCTGATCTATAACATCTTTCAAACCATTTTCTTTTTTATTAAACATAATTATAAAAGAAACTAAGTTCACCCACATTAAAAATTCATAGCCCGCTAGTGACAACCCGACTACCAGTGGTTGGGTGATGTTCACGTTTTGAGAAGGAAGACTTCCATAATTATTTCAGAATGCCTGAGCTGGTGTACGAAGAACTTTTGCGCTTAGTTACACCAATTATAGCTAAACAGGATACTTGCATGAGAGAAGCTATTTCACCGCATGAACGTTTAAGTGCAACATCACGATTTTTGATAACTGATGCTACATATACAGATTTAATGTATTCATCAGTAATATCAAGACAGTCATTGGGAAACATTCCTGAGACATGCGATGCAATTTACTCTGCACTGAAGACATATTTGAAGGTATGTAGTATACATTTTTACCTATTTTATGAAAATATAATACTAATAGTCCAATAATCAGTCTTTATTAAAGTTCAAATATTCAATCAGGGTGACCGGTACACTAATAATTTGCGAGTCTTGTGACAAGTGAAGTGCTTCTGTTTCTTGCATCTGTACTGGAACAGCTGGGATGTGTACTAATGGTGTTTGGGGTACCTGGACTGGACCAGGACGATGTTTAGTTGTATTAAAAGTTAATTTTTCAAACCGTCCAAAAAAAATTACTTCATTGATTACTTTTTCAGCTATGCCTTGTTGAGTAGCAGTCATATTACGAAGTTTAGCCGCTACATTTTTTCCAATAGCATCGTATTCATCATCAGGCTTTTCTAATTTTTCACCTATCAACGGTATTGTTTTTGCAATTTCTTCATTGGCTTGTCGTTTACGACGTGTAGATGATGCAGTTGATGTTGAAGGTGTCGCAGGGTTAGTCAGGTTGTGGTTGGTTATCTGTAAATTAAAACATTATCATTATTGATTCATTACTGACTCTAGTTTTTTGTTACAGTTCCCGAACTCAAAACAAGAATGGATAGCAATCGCTGAAGAGTTTGAGCGTAGATGGCAATTTCCAAATTGCTTAGGAGCTGTTGATGGGAAACATTTTGCTATAGTCCCTCCTGCTGGAGCAGGGTCACATTTTTTTAATTATAAAGGATATCATAGTATCGTTTTATTGGCAATTGCTAATCTAAATGATGAATTTATCTATGTGGATATTGGAACAAATGGACGTATTTCTGATGGTGGTGTATTACGAAAAACTAAGTTCTTTCAAAGATTCGCTTCTAATAGTGTAAATCTTCCTAGTCCCAGAAAACCAAGTGGACATTTAGAGGAGTTGCCTTATGTATTTATTGGCGATGAGGCTTTTGCTTTGAGGACAGATTTTATAAAACCATACCCACAAAGGCAATCTCAGGCTCGCTCAAGTAAAATAATATACAATTACAGAGTACAGGGCTAGAAGAATTATGGAAAATGTTTTTAGAATTTTGGCAGCAAGATTCCATATTTTTCGATCGCCTATAAATGCCATTGTTCGCAATATTAAAAAAATGGTTTTGGCATGTTGTGTATTACACAATTTTTTAAGAAAAAAAGCAACACAAATTTACAGTCCACGTCAATATTTTAATAGTGAGAATCATAAAAGTGGAACTCTTTAATTAGGAATGAGGCCACAAAAAGGAGAATTGAAACCACTGCAACAAACACATGATCAGAATTCCACTCGACATGCAAAAGTTCCCGAGAAAAGTATGAAACTTACTTTAATACTAGCGGTGCAGTGTCATGGCAACAAGCAATGTTATATAAATAATATTCATATATTTTTACCTCAGTATCACTCTCATTACACTCAGCATCGATTGTACTTTCATTATCATTAGATGTCTCCTGTTCGTTGCTACCCATATTGTCAGCCGATTGTTCACCTGTAAATAAATCACTTATCTGAATACTTTGGTACATTATCTTTTTAACTATAACTTCACAATATCATTCATTATTGTAACTCGTCGAACAAAGGATACACGTAGTGGGTACTATAAAGAAACCCTTTATTAGTTTATTAAACTCACCTTGGATTTGACCATTCAGAAATTCAAGCTGACTGTAGTACCATAATTTTGGTAGGTATACCTGGTCTGTTCCTGACCCCGTCCTCATGCTATCTCACACTTTTCTATATTCTTTACGGTATCCAGCTCTGAGTGAATTAATTTTCTTTTTCACATTATCAATGGTGGCATCCCTTTCCACCTTACGTATTATTTCCAATAAATTATTGTATGGTTTTAACTTTATATTTTTGTCTTTGTAAGCCGTACTTTTTATTTGCCAAAGGCAAGGTCTATTTCTAAAACCTTCGATAAATTCAGTTATCCGTTCATGTGAATATGTACGAAAATCACTCATTTTGCGAATTAACACTAGAGTTAACCAAATTCAACAAAAGAAACGCGAATATCAAATAATTCAGACACGCATTACACGTGCGCCTCCTCGGACTAACGAAGCAAAATGGTGGCTCGCGGCTCGCATTGCTGTTACACGTACGAGCCAAGACGAGTTGCGAGTAAGATTTCAAACCGATTGGATCGGCGGCGAGCTTGCGCGGCAATTTTAAAGTACGCGAACTTACGGCGACACACATGCGAAAAAGGTTGTCGAGCCACAAGTCCGCCTACTTACTCGCATGTCTATCATCGACTTATCAGCGACTTAAAGTTAGTTATGGTGTACGAGCCCCTTCCCACTTCAGTTGGCCCAACTATTGAAATCTTAGTTTTTTCTTATCAAACACAAATAATAAATATGTACGTATAGCAGGGTGTTATAGGTTTAAAATATTAACAATGAATATTTTGATAATATATAGTAGGAAACACCAACTGTATCACTCCCTAATCAAATTTGCAGCATAAAAATAACACCTGTTGCAATTACAGCATATTAACCTATTTTCATTTCATTGCAAAATAAGTCTATAACGCATACGTGGCTGTGACAAATAAAAGCCATGACAATTGTTTTTATTAATCACAGCTATCAGAATACGTTTAAAATAGTTTTGGGTAGTTAAGGTTTTCAAAATGGATAGAGGAAAGGTTATTAGTGAGAAAATTCGGTTTCAGATAATTGAATTTTTTTAATTCCGGGAAATCAAATTAAAAAATTGCAACTTTGTTAGACTTATCGCGGTACAGTGTGAGAATATTGTTAGAAGATATAACGTAACTGGTTCAGTTAATATTAAGCCACGGTATGTAAAAAAAAGTAATATCACAAATGCCGACCGAAGAGCATTAAGAAGAATAATCGTGAAAAACAGGCGTGCCAATTATTTACAATTAAGTGCTCTGTGGAGTGACGCTGTTGGAGGAGAATTTCGAGGTACACAACTCATAGAGAGGCCCACAAACTGGGATTTAGCACTTGCAAGGTAAGTTTTCTTATAAAAAAAGTGAAGTAAAAACCCAAAAATTGCACAACTTGTTTATAGGCCAAAGAAAAGCCACTATTATTTCCACTGCAAAAGAAAAATCGGCATAGATGAGTTAAAGAACATAGGCAATGGACACCTCAACAATGTTGTGCAATACAATGGAGTGATGAGGCCCGATTCGAAGTTTGTGTTGGTGACAGTCGCAGTAGAGTTATTCGCAAAAAAAATGAGGCATTCCATGTTGACTGTCTGAAGAGAAAAGTGAAATTTCCAGCATCCATTATGGTCTAGGGCAGTATGTCATCAAAAGGAGTAGGAAAACTTCATTTTATTGATGGAAATGTGGATACAAACAAATGTTTGGCAATTTTAGAAGAACCGCTTTTACCAGTGATGGAAGAATGTTTGACATCCGGCCAAGATTTTGTGTTTCAGCAAGATGGTGCAGCGTGCCATACCTCAAAAAAGGCTATAAAAAGGATGGAAGAAAATAATGTAACACTTTTGAATTGGGTTTCTAGCAGACCAGATCTGTCACCTACTGAAACTTTGTGCCACGAGATGGAAAAGGTTCTACGACAACATCCTGCTCGTACAATCACCGAACTGAGACAAAAGCTTCAAGAAATATGGGATTCTTTTACACCAAATTTTTGCCCCAAAGAATTTCAGCCGTAATAAAAAATAAAGGTGATGTATCTAAGACGTTTTTGAGAAAATAAATTATTTTAGAAGTAAATAGTTTCGTCATGTTTAGTTTATAAAGGCATATTTTGGTACAAATATTGAAGTGGGCCAACTGAAGTGGGAAGGAGCTCGTAGTTACTACAGAGCAGACCACCTAGACATGAAATGTTTATTTCCGTCCAGAGCACACACCGAGCAGGTGTCTCACTCTGATGAACCGCGAAGAAACGGATCGGGTCGCCCGAATGCATACGAATTCAAGCGCCTCGTACAGACGTACACATAGGTACTCAATTTCAATTAATATTAGAAATACTATACTAGGTTTTTCGATTGGAAGGCAGAAATCTTATTTTTAAGTTTACACAATAAATTAGAAAATTTTGAAGATACATTGGTTCTGAACCTTAAGCACCCCTGTATACTGTGCTGAAGGCGTACAGTCGTCCACAACACTTTTATAGTACACATCTATAGCAAGTACATACAGGAAATTTGAATTTCGTCCAACCGCATCACGCAACTTTAAACGGAAATAGAACTGTATCGTGCAGATATAAATTGAATCGGTTGTAATTTTACTTGTGAGTGGTAATGAAGCCTTCCCGTATTTGACGTTCTATAAGCGTGGATCAACGGAAGGCGCTTCCTTTGTTTGATGTTGTGAGAAAACCACAAGAACCAACATTTCCGTTACCGTCGACGTATGGAAACCTGGGAGCAATATGTTTGATGAAAATAGAAAGAAAATGTTACTTACACCACGTTTACTCAGATGCATGCCTACACTATAAAAAATCAGGATGTTAGTTTTTCGCTACACCATTATTGTAACCAATAAATCACTTAGAAGTAGCTTTTCTCTCTCTACACATGTAACAATAACAAAAAACGTCCAGGTAAATAATAATGTCATTTGAAATTGTATCTTGCTAACTTCATTATGCCATTTTGACCACTTTTATTTTCCGAACTATCCCAACAACAATAACCAGTATCACGTATAGACCCTCATGTAGCTACTTTTCTTGTGTATTTCGATAATCAGAGAAGTATTAGACTTTTTTTGCTAGCAGAATGGAAACACAACAAACGTTAGCAGCTTATTTCTCTGTGACACTGAAATGGTCCAGTCCTTTCGACTTCCTAAACGTCATGAGCGCAGGTACGTTGATATAAGAACTGGCTAGGGTAAGTGATACTAAACGCTATTCATACTTCATTTGACAAGGCCTTTATTGATATTAATAATGGCTTACTTCTCAACTTAGGTGTGTAATGTACTATGTATTGCTCCCCGGCAGGTCATGAGAAGGGACGTAAATAATGAACATCTAATCTTTCACAATAATTTTTTTGACTATTAAAACCTTTGCGTTGGAATTCACTCCTTAACTTGAATACTTGGTATGAGAAGTTTCAGCTCGCTCCAAATTCCAATCGTTTGCTGTACGGTTACGTGTGCTTGTCTGTTTGTGCCCCTTGTTATCTGACTGTGTTTAAACATTACTGCCTAGACTTATTGAAGTGTGGAGTTGCAAAGCATGTTTGAAGAAAAAATGACAAATAAAATAAAAAAATGTAATTTTATCTAGCTGATCATTAAATAAACTAAAAATTCAACAAATTTTGTTCTCATTGGAAATACTTAAACGATAATGTAGCTCCTTCATCTCAGGTCTTCAAATAAAAGTGTGTTACAGCCTTTTATCATTATGCTCAGAACGTAACATGCTATTATTTGTAAAGCCCTTTTATTGATACCCATGTTACAGGGGTGGTTGAGAAAAATGTAAATCTCCATTTTGGGGCCGCCAGCATCGTCAAGTCATCGTTGGTTGTCAGAGCGGTCCGTGGGACCTTAGCTCTTGAGTCACAGTGTCAGTTTGTAAGTCTGTCAGGTCTGGTAACCCAGAAACCAGACAATTTCAAGGAAAAAGGGGAAGGAAAGGAGAGAAGGAAGAACGGAAGCAAAGGGGAAGAAGAGAATCTTTTAGGATAGGCAGCGTTTAGGCATTGTTAAAATCACTTAACAGATTTTGATATGGTCTAAAAATATTTGATTTTTCTAAAGATTGTGTCAAAATGCTCCAATTTTGGTTGTTCTAAGTTCACGAGTTAATTTTGATTACAGTGCGAGCCGCGGCCTTTTGTGCTTGCGAACTTGTTCGACTGTGTAGTCCACTATAGCGCCGCTGCGCCTGTTGCTTAATATAGTCCTTTAGGTAAGGGACATCGAGGTCTCTATGTAGAGTTTCGTTAGAGACATACCATGGGGCATCCGCAATAGTGCGCAACATCCTGCTTTGCAGAACCTGCAGATTTCGCATGTGTGTTTTAGCAATGAAACACCAAGCACATGCGTCGCCCGCCAGCATATTGGATTTAGAATGACATCACTATGCATATTGTGTTTCTCTCATCAAACCCTTAACTTAATACGTATATCGTGAGAGTGACTGTAAAAATGTAAATCGCCATGCTGTTGCGGCTGCCATATTGAATTCAGAATGACATCACCATGCTAATCAAGTTTCTCTCATCAAACCATACCATTTGGCACCCTTGTCGTAGGGTGTCCACGAAATATGTTATTCGTCTATCGAGGAATGACTCAACTACTTGCATTTTTGGTTACAGGAAGTAAGTTTTGTGAAGCCGAGTAGTCTATAGTGTTTATCTCTTAGAAGATGTGAAAGGAAGAAGTCGGTTGCATGTGTATAAAATCAGTGATACTTATCTGCTATGTGAGAAAATTATCACTGAATATGCTGCCAATGAATATTTATCAGCTGTGCCTGATGGGTTATTTATATGTTGTCCTTTCTGAAGACAGGTTATGTTCATAGTTACAAATTACAATTTTTCCATTTTTTTGTGTTTTCAAAAACTTGAGGAGCATTACGGGAAATCACCACCGCGTCCGCGTTCTGTGCAATTAAGCCACAGCACAGAAAAGTTAGGAATGACGCAT